GAATTACTGTATGATCTAGCAGCACGTTTCCAGGTATATGTCCAAACAAATTGAAAACAGGATTTTGTAGAGATCTGTGTACCCATGTTTATGGAGTATTATTTGCAATAGCGAGGAGGTAGAAGGAACCCAAACATCCATCGACAGATGGACAAACAAAATGTGGCATACGCATATGACTATCATTCAGCCTTAATTTAGGAAGGAAATTCTAACACACACTACAGCATGGATGAACCTTGAGGACACTATGCCAAGTGAAATAAACCAGCCACAAAAAGATAAACACTGTGTGCTTTCACTTAAATGCGGTACCTCCTGTAGTCAAGACTCATGGAAACCAAAAGTAGCCTGGGATTGCCAGGAGGGAGAACTGGGAGTTACTTCTACAAGACCGGAAGTTGTGGAGACGCACGCAGTGGTCACACAGCGGTGTGACTGCACGTGGTGCTACTGAACTGTACGCTGAGAAATGGCTAAGACGGTAAATTTCACATTTTGTGTGCTGCACAGTCTTTTTAAATCTAAAAATCAGTTCCTTCTCTATTTTTCCTCTACGGTGGGGAGTGGGGGGCGGGGGGAGAAGAGTCGAGGGAGGTAGGGTCCCTTGTGGACCCCTGCTGCCACTGCAGAGCCTGAGGCCTTCCGAGGCTGGACCTGACGGGTCACCCAGGCGTTCAGCGTCCCTCACACCTGGGCCCAGCTCCCGGTGCTGACCTGGTCGAGCTCTGGGCGCGGAGCCCCCCACCTGAGCCACTGTCTGCGTTCCCTCGTGTGTTCAGCAGGGCGGACACCACCCCTCTTAGGGGCCGATGCGGCTGCGCACGCTGACATCCAGGCTTTTAGCGCGGGACCCGCAGAGACCCAGCACCACCCTGAACGCGGCTGGGAGTCGGCCAGCCCTCCTGGGCACGCCGTCCTCTGCCGTCTCTGACAAGACCTTCTTGCCCTCCCGCTCCTCCTGGGTGAAATATTCCTTTTCTCACTTCGTGGCTGAAGCAGCCTGTGCTGAGAACCTGCTCCGTCCTGGCGCCTCCCCGCTGTCCCTGCGCGGCCCAGGCCGCTTCCGGTGGCTCCAGACGGAGCCACGCCCCCGCCCCACGCACGACCTGTCCTGCCGCCCCGCCCCGCTCCCTCCTGGCTCCTCTGTTTGAAGCTGCCTGTTAATCAGTCAGTCTGGCTCCCCTGGGCCTTCTCACTGGGCAGGCGGTGTCTCCTGTGCCCCTGGGCTCAGCCCGGGGCCTCGGGGCGCGCAGCCTGCTGCCCGCTGAGCGCCGCGCGGCCTCGCCCTCTCCTGCAGCCCCTGCCTCCGGTCCCCCTGCTCAGACCTGGCGGAAGCCAGGTCCCCACCAGCAGCCTCTGTGCCCGCAGCTGCTGCATCGCTGGCTTTCTCCTGGCGGCCTTGGTGACACCCTCACGTCCCCGGTACCCTGATCAACTCTTCCTGCCAGCCTCCCACAAGCAGCCCCGCTTCCTTCCTGGTCGCCTTGAGCCTCCGCGAAGGCCTGGGGGTGCAGCCCGGTGCCTGTGTGGAGCGCCAGGTGGTGCAGCAGAGGAAACAGGCCCCTTTCTCCCTGCTTTGTCCCCAAGTGCCACCGCCATGACCCCTAAAGACAAAAGATGAGAGAGCAGACGCAATTCTGGAAGACAGCAGAGAGACAAGTGGTGGCTGACGGCACCCAGGGGCCCGGAAACCTAAGTCCCGGCGGGGAGCCAGCCGACCAGGGCCCTGGACATGAGAGGGTGAGGACAAGGGGTGGGGTGCAGTCTGTGCAGGGAGCAGAGACCCCCCACTGCCCTCTCCCCAGCAGGGGGAAGGGTGGGTTACTGTCCAGAGAGGTTTGGTACCGGGGGGACCAGGCCCAGCCGAAGGTGGGATGAGGGCGCCCTGAAGACCAGGAGGGCGGGAAAGGCCACCAACTCGGGGATTCAGTGGTTAGCCAGGCCCCCACCAGGCTCCCCTCACAGCTTCCTATAGAGCATCTCACTTTTCAATGTGAAAGGCCAGCCAAGGATTACTAAGACGTTTGAAGGAACCGTCTCAAAGAAACAAAAGAGGAATTTCGGAGAAGGAGCAGCAATACAGGGAAAGATAAAAACTTGAAGAAATTCACAGTAATTAATATCATCCCAAGGAGAAGAGATGGTATTATGCTGAGAAAGAAATAGGATGATTATGACAGGAGGGAACAAGAAAAAGATCCTGGAGATAAATATCACAGCAAAATAGTTTTAAAAATAATAGAAGTACTGGAAGGTAAACTAGACTACAAAAGAGGCAATTGGGAGATTAACCCAGGATATGCACCATCTGAGTTCTGGAGATGCAGGAAGGAAGGAGAGGGATGAAGCTTCCCGGTGTCCATGATGATGAGTCTTCAGACGGAGATCTGTGGCACAATGAATGGAAAAACCCGCATGGAGGGTCCGCACCGTGGGACTTCACAACCCACAGGACAGACCACCACCCTAGGAGCCTCCCGAAAGAAGAGCCTGCTTCTGTTCAAAGGACGGTGGGTCCCACCTGCCTGGGCGGCTCAGCATGGGTTTGGGACACCAGTAGACAAAGAAGAGATGCCTTTAGAGTTCTGAAGGAAATCAGTTCTAGAATTCTCATTCTCAGTTCAGTTCACAGTTGCTCAGTCGTGTCCGACTCTTTGCGACCCCGTGGACTGCAGCACGTCAGGCCTCCCTGTCCATCACCAGCTCCCAGAGTTCACTCAAACTCGTGTCCATTGAGTCAGTGATGCCATCCAGCCGTCTCATCCTCTGTCCTCACCCTACGTACACTATTAACTGAGGCTGGTAAAGAAGAAGCTTCAATTCAATGAGGGAGTTGACCAAGAGGGGGCCGTGGCACCCAGGGACGGAGCTCTGGGAGAAGCCTGGGGGTTCCGGGGGCACCGTAGACCCAGGCCAGGGCAGGAGGGACACTGGGAGCTACAGCCCCAGGGAACAACAGAGGCAACGGGTGGTCAGGGCGGAAAGGATTCTTACGGTGCTCTCAGAAATCATGAGGCCGAAGGACGGACTGTCAGAGAAACTTGAGCAAAGCACAAAAAGGAGAGGGGGGAAAAAAACCCTGAAACAATTTTTAATTCCAAGAAAAACAAAAAGTTGTCCAAGAAAGGAAATTAATCATAGTACACTGTGTGCTTTATCTGAGAGCAGTGTTTACATAGTTGTGATGCTGAACTGAATATGGACTTGACCACAATCTGTGATGTGAGCCCGGTGGGGCTGAGTGACAGGCGCATTTAATGCAGACTTACTGAGCATGCGATGTTAATTGCTGCGCCTTCACCGCGGTCCCCCGAGACAGGAGGCTTAGACGACTTCCTGATAGTCAGGAAACCAAGGTCCAGAGAGGTGACATGGTTTGCTTAAGGTCACACAGCTGGTAAATGGCAGAGCCAGGATTTCAACTCGGGCAACTTGGTTCCGAAGTCTGTCCTTTAAACTAACACTCCGCTCGCCTGCTTTGGGGTAGGAAGGCAGACGGTTTAAAATATCAGGAAGCTGCGGTACAACCAACAATATGGAGATATTAATAAATAGCAAATGCAACAGTCGAGAGGCTTAACCGGGTCTCTGCAAGGGAGTGGGAATGTAGAGATTTTATTCTTGTAATTTGACTTTACCTTATGCCCACATTGGGCTTCCCTTGTGGCTCAGCTGGTAAAGAATCCGCCGGCAATGCGGGAGCCCTGGGTTCAATCCCTGGGTTGGGAAGATCCCAGGGAAGATCTTGGAGAAAGGAAAGGCTACCCACTCCAGTATTCAGGCCTGGAGAACTCCATGGACTGTACAGTCCATGGGTCTGGCCTGGAAAATTCCACAGACTATATAGTCCGTGGGGTCGCAGAGTCGGACACAGAGCGACTTTAAATCTAATCAAAGGGAGGGGACACGGGAACTCGAGGGCTCAGTGGAGCAGCCCCTCGCCGGCCAGGCCCAGCAATGCAGCCCGAGTCCTCACCGACCTGGGACTCGGGCCGGGACGACTGGGTGGTTTCCGGCGCCCTTTCGGCTTTTCTCGTTCTGTGGTCACCAGGAGGGACCGTGGTTTAGAGAAGAGGCGCCAGGAGAGAGCAAGCCGCGGCGGGGGAGGCCGGCGGGGCGGGGCGGGGGGCACTCAGGGAGGGGTCACCTGGGAAGGGAGGTGAGGGCCCGGGCGGGCCTGGGGTCAGGCTGGGGGCGCCGGGCCGCGGGCCACCAGGGTTCTGGGGGATGGTCCGGCGAGGGTGGGAGCGTGGATCTGGGTTCCACCCGGAGTTGCTACCGAAGAATGCGCTGGAAGGCGCGGCTGGCTGGTCCTCCCCGTCCCCTTGGCGGCAGGGGGCCTGTGCCCCCTCTCCCTGCACCCTGAGTCCAGGTTCTCATTCACACCCTGACCTTCAAACCCGTGCAGCCGCCCCCGACACCCCGAGGCCGGCCTGGCCTCCCCGCGCCATTTGGAGCTCAGCTCTGTCAGACCTCAGCCCTGCGCAAGGCAGGCGACTGAGGCTGAGGCCGCGGGGAGGACGGGTGGGCACGAGTGGGCAGCTGTGTTCGCCGGGGCTCTGCCCATCCGCCGCAGACACCCTGAAGAGACGGGGCGAGGCCCGGCCCCCCAGACCGACTCTGGTTTGCTGGGAAGAAAGCCCCGTCCTGCGCGTGTGACTTCCCTGAAGGCCACCCGGCCGCGTGGCTGGTGGCAGGGCCTGCCTGGCACAGCCGGGCCCAGTCCCTCAGTGTTGGCGGATTGGGGGTGAGCGGGGCAACAGGATGCCAGGCTTGGAGAAGGGGCCCGGCCTCCGAACTTCCCTTTCTGTTTCTGCGTGAGTCCCTTACACCGATCACTTTCGGTCTGTTATGTAATGGAGTCTGAGCCCCGACCCAGGAGGGGGTAAACACTTACCTTCTCGTTGCAGCCTAGGCCGCTGTGCTGAGTCCCAGGCCGGCATCCTTAACCTCGGGGGCCCGGAAGAAGGAAGGAACACAGCGGTGCGGTTAAGGTCATGCCAGGGCCAGAGTGTAAATGGAGCGCTGAAACCGGAGCTCCCTGTGGCACCGACGACAGGTGATTATTATATACAGGTGCACACACACATACACGTATGTGCCATGTATACACCTCTGCAGATGTATGTGGTGTGTACGTGCTAATTAGCACAGCACATACACACATATCTATGTCTATACGTGTGTATATATTTGCCTACTTATTATTACTTGTTTTTCTGTAATATTTGTTTCAAGTCCTTTTATTGAAAACTAACTTCTCCATGAAACTGCAGCCCTGCGGGGCCCAAGCCTCTAACAGACTGTCTCCTCGAAAGTCTGGTCTCAGAGCCGGCCCCTCCCCCGGGACCCTGTCCGTGAAGGGAGGCCGCTGGGGAGCGAGCCGGCCGCGCCCCCCGTGACCTGTCCGCCATCCTCTCTGCCCGCAGCTCCGGCTGCCTGGCCCCCGTGTTCGTGTACGGGACGCTGAAGACGGGCCAGCCCAACCACCGGGTCCTGCTGGACGGCGCCCACGGGCGCGCCGCCTTCCGGGGCCGGGCCCGCACGCTGGAGCCCTACCCGCTGGTGATCGCGGGCGAGCACAACATTCCGTGGCTGCTCAATCTGCCGGGCCGCGGGCACCGCGTGGCCGGCGAGGTCTACGAAGTGGACGGGCGGATGCTGCGCTTCCTGGACGAGTTCGAGGACTGCCCCGACATGTACCAGCGCACCCGCCTGCGCGTGGCCCTGGAGGGCGCGCGCGCGCCCCTGGAGTGCTTCGTCTACACCACGGCCACCTACCCGCCTGAGTGGGTCCACCTACCGTACCTCGACGACTACGACTCGCAGGGGAAGCACGGGCTCCGCTACAACCCGCGGGAAAACAGATGAGCCCCGCGGGCGAGGGAGGCCGGGGCCCAGCCCCGAGAGGCCGCGCTCGCTGAACGAGGGCGCGAAAACACCCCTGGAAACCGGTACTTTAAACGAATACTCGATCTGTCAGGGGTGGGCGGGGGAGAACACTTCTTTTTCAGTGGCAGCCGATTTCCCAAATAATTTGGAGGTACTGATAACAAAACTGTTTCCTGAAATCTGTCTCTCTATGCTGCTTTCTTGCTTGCTGCTTAAAGAGCATCTTGGGCTTCAATGTACTGGATGAGAAAAACTCAGGACTTTAATTCCCCAAATGACATTTGAAAACTCACGTTATCATGCTTTTCTGATTATGCTGGGGTATTTTTTTTTTTTTTTTTTTGCTTTGCTTTAATCTGAAGATAACATTTAAAATGAATATCAAGTCTGTGTGTGACAGCTAGGTTTTAACAGCCTCATTGTATTGATTCTGACCTGTACCACTGAGAAAAAAACTTTTAAAGCTGATTTTAGACATATCAATGTAATAAAATAACCTCAAGAAACACATGCTGTATTTTAGAGTTCTTTTGAATATATATGACATCATTCTTCGTAATTTTTGAGATCAAGCTTATGTAGAAATGATTAAAGATATACCACATTGAGAAATTGAATATACAGTATTGGTGTTGCTGTCAGCCCTCTTTCTGAGTCTGTGCGGTGGCAGCGCAGCTGAACACCCCGATTTCAGACAGGCTCACGGGAGCCCTGCCCCACAAGGGAGCTGCCACGGGGACGAGCTTTTCGGAGAACCAAGTCGGCAGCAGTTCGCTCGTCAGGCCCGACAAAAAGCTTGGCTTCCAAACACAGACAGCGCTTAACGTAATTTTAGCACGCACGAAGCACCAATTACCGCCCACCTCCATCTGCTACTCTGTCAGGGGGGCCTCGAGGCCACGCATGGCGCTGCCTCTGCTCACTCACCACCGAGGAGGAAGTGCATCCCGAGGATTCCAGACCCGGACGACGACGCGGCTGGTCCCGGGTAGCCTCGTTCTCCGTCGGGAGCGCGCGCTCCCCGCGTCGACTTAGCGGCAGACTGAGATGACTAACTGCATCTGCTCCAGAGCACCACTGTTATACTTAGCCCTTTTTTTGGTAATTGGAAACTCGCTCCCCAGAAACACAAAAAGGCGAGGATGGGAATCCGCTGCTCGGCTCTGCAGCGCCCCCACCACCACTGGGGCCTGGGAACCCTGACTGGTGCCCTGGGAGGGATGGGGGTCACCTCCGCGGGCTCAGGGGACCCACATCACTGTCCGACCACCAGCAGTGCTGTTCCAGCTTCTGGAGATCATGACTAGCCAACCACGAGCGGGCCTCAGGGCCTCAAGCAGGATGAAGCAGGTAATGAGATTACAAGGTGGCAAATGCTCATTTAATGAAACCGAAGGCAAAGAACTGGGATTTATATACGTTTTTTAAAAGCATCCCGATGAAATGCTGGCATTTTAAAGCCTACTGGCACAGCCCATAGCCTCTTATGTACATTGTCTTCATGCAAAAAAAGGGCAAACTAATATTTAGACAAATGCTCAGTTTTATTGATTTCATTTGGACACTAGGAAATCTCACAGCAGAAGTACAAATCATATGTACAAGTATTTATATCAATAAAAAATTTCCATTGGTGATTTTTTTTGGCAGAACGTTGGTTTTGACTATATGTGGGGTAAATATGACCATGTAAAATCTGCTGCACAGGGGTGTTCCTGCCGAACGCCTGAATAAATTGAGTGTGAAAGAATAATAATACAAATGGCTAATTAAATTGGGTGATGACTGAAAGGCTATAAATACTTCATTCCAGTTCCACGAGCAGGTCTCCTTCTCCAACTGTGTCTCCAGCTTTACAATGTACCGATTTCACCTTGAATTTAAAAAAGAAAAAGAAAGAAGGGGGAGAGTAAAATTACTAAGCAGACCAGGAGGAAGCAGTCTTGTCAGGCTCTGGAAGTGACGGCGCAGGCAGGCAGGCGCTGGAGCAGAGGCAAAAGGCGGGTGGCGGGCGCCCGTCGAGGGACCCGGCTGGGGGTGTCCTCGGCTGGCTGCGGCCCGCGCGGCTCCTAGACGCCGCTGCTCCCGCGGTGCTGCGGTCCTCTGCACCAGGCACCCCGGGGTCGAGGCCGGCGGGGACGATGCTGGGTGAGTCTCCAGCCCCACCTCCTTTCTCTCACAGGTTCCGGTTTGGAGAAATGCTCCCTCAGGGTTAATGGTGGGAAAAAAAACCCAAAACCAAATCCAAACCCCACACACAATTATCCCTGAGTCAGAACAGGTATTAATCAACAACAGAAGCGCCCCGGCCTGATCCGAAGCGTCCTGTGAAGAGAAATGAAGTTCTCAAAATGCGGGTCGAACCCCGTGGCTCCCACAACGTCACCTCCGTGCCCTGATTTCTCCTGATTTGTCAGCTCTTGCTTTCCCAAATTTGTGTTCAGTTAAAACTAGAGACAGCCCACTTGACTTGGCGGTTCTAGCCTGGGCGTGAGGATGAAATAGGTTAGAAATAGGCCTGAGGTTAGAAGTCACAGGCCGCCTGGGCAAGCGGCAAAAGGGCCAGAGCTGTGGGGTTGGGAGCCCTAGCCTGCGGTGGCGAGAGTGGCCTGCATCCCGAGTTCCAGCCTGGGCCTCTCGGAAAGAAGAGAACCAACGCAGCGACACTTGGAAGGCCTCGTTCCACAGGGCTGTTTGCAGTGAAGTGGCTGCTTTTTTTCAATAAACTTAGATACGCAGATGACACCACCCTTCTGGCAGAAAGTGAAGAACTAAAGAGCCTCTTGATAAAAGTGAAAGAGGAGAGTGAAAAAGATGGCTTAAAGCTCAACATTCAGAAAACTAAGATCATGGCATTTGGTCCCATCACTTCATGGCAAACAGATGGGGAAACAATGGAAACAGTGTCAGACTTTATTTTCTTGGGCTCCAAAATCACTGCAGATCATGACTGCAGCCATGAAATTAAAAGACACTTGCTCCTTGGAAGAAAAACTATGACCAACCTAGACAGCATATTGAAAAGCAGAGACATTACTTTGCAACAAAAGTCCGTCTAGTCAAGGCTATGGTTTTTCCAGTGGCCATGTGAAAGTTGGACTGTGAAGAAAGCTGAGCGCAGAAGAATGGATACTTCTGAACTGTGGTGTTGGGGAAGACTCTTGAGAGTCCCTTGGACTGCAAGGAGATCCAACCAGGCCATCCTAAAGGAAATCAGTCCTGGGTGTTCGCCGTAAGGACTGATGCTGAAGCTGAAACTCCAATGCTTTGGCCACCTGATGCAAAGACCTGACTCATTAGAAAAGACCCTGATGCTGGGAAAGATTGAGGGCAGGAGAAGGGGACGACAGAGGATGAGATGGTTGGATGGCATCACCGACTCAATGAACATGGGTTTGAGTAAGCTCCGGGAGTTGGTGATGGACAGGAAGGCCTGGTGTGTTGCAGTCCACGGTGTCGCAGACAGCCGGACACGACTGAGCGACTGAATTGAACTGGCTGCTTTTTAAGGTCTGGAGTCCCTGGTGTTTTGACAGGCTGTGTCTGTCACAATGCTGTGACTCCAGAGTAGAGGGCCTGCTGCCACTGTTAACCCGGCCACGGGAGGAAAACTGGCCTCTCAGAGCAAGAACCGTCTGCCCCAGGCAGGGCCGCTCCTCCGCCCTGGGGGGCAGGGCCAACGCGCAGGCTCACCTAGAGCCCCTCAGCACCCTGAGCACGGCGGGGAGTCCCCGTGAGACCCGGGCCCTGAAGACATCAACCACGCACACGGGCGGGCTCCTGGCTCCCTCAGAGAGCTATGGCCGCGTTCATTTTAGGATCAGATCCCCAGCCTGGCACAGTGGCCCTTGGCGTGCATCTGACACATATTCTGGATCCCCTAAATGAGGCCAGGCTCTCATCACGAAGGGAACTCTCCTGACAACAATGCAGCGTGCATGTCAACCAATCTCTAGGAACGCGGAGAACAATTTTTACAGGAGCAGAAACCAACACGTTCTTGTTCACTTCTTAGAAAGGAATCGGGTATGGCAAGAATAATTCCCCTGGAGCCCAGATCGCACCAGTCTCTTCACCCCAAACTGGGAGGAGACTGGGAGCAGTCGTCCAAGGCCCGCTCTAGCTGGGCCCAACACTGGGCCTCCGTCCTCCCGGCTGGGGCGGGACTGGGCGTCCCCTTGGGCCTGGTCCCTGAACATGGGTTTTGTTTGCTCTTCGGGAGGCAGACGGAGGCCATGTCTGATGCCAACTCCACGGGCAGCCGACAGTACCTCTCTGCCAGGACACCCACCATCCCCAAGGCTCCAGTGCCCTTCCCGGGAGTGACCACAGCGCAGAACATGGCCAGTCTACACTGCTGTCCCCACACACGACCCACACCTCACTCCGCTGTGCAGTACTTCCAAAGCAAAACACCCTTCAGAAAAGGATCATTCTGCTACAAATGGTGCCTTTCAAGTCGCGGGAAGAATGATGAAGTTACTGCTTAAAAGGACTTTTCTATTTTCTTCGACAGAAAGTACGTTTAAGAAGTTTCACTTTTAACAAATCTCAGTAATACATCTCTCTCTTTTTCTTTCCCCCCTCCCTGAATCGTGAAGTCCCGCATGTGTATGTGGGCCTTTCACCTCCTCTTGATCTAAAATTGAATTGTTCTCTTTGTGGAGAAATTATCTTGAAGAGTTGCATTAATTTCTGCAATCTCTAAAAACCATTTCCTGCTGGGTCACCTACGTCTCAGATAACTCACTGCCTCTAAGACAGATGTAAACATTAAAAATTAAAGACCCCTTAATTTGAAAGACATTAAGGTGAAGAACAATTGTTCTTCAACCACCCCCTCCCGCACCCCAGACGTCACACAGACTCTCCTGGGCCCGACATCTAGGACTCCAAGGTGGAGGCTCCGCTTGCAGTCACAGCCGCCTGGGCTGGCGGGCCCTTGGGGACGTACCTTGCCAGTCTTCCCGGCCGTCATA